GGCATGAGATGGCTGCTCACATGGAAATACGATCCCAAGTATGAGGAGGGCCGCAAGGCAAAAGCAAGAGCAATCATTTTGGGCTATCAAGACCCAAGGTACCAGTTCCATCAGACGGCAGCACCAACACCTAGCAAAGCAGGAAGACAATTATTTTTCCAGTACCGTGCTTGGAAACGTTTTCAAATAGTGAAGGGATATGTTTCTGGGGCATTTTTACAGGGAGATGATCTTGCAGAAGCTTTATGGTGCAGACCACTACCAGAAATATGTGCAGAACTGGGAGTAGCACAAGACACATTAATGTTGTTGACCAAAGCAGCATACGGATTAGTACAAGCACCTCTACAATGGTATAACTCGGTTTGCAACACCATGAACAAACTGGGATACCAAAGGTTGGTGACAGAACCATGTTGTTGGATCTATGTTGATGACACAGGCACAGTACGATCCATGATTCACGGACACGTGGACGACTTCGTGTTTGGGGGAGATGAGAATTGTCCAATCCACAAATCACTGATGTCACAGCTTCAAGCAGCATTTTCTTGGGGAACCTGGGAGGTCAAAGAATTTGAACAATGTGGCATTTTGGACAATTACTAGACAACCGCAGTTGCCAGCAACAGATCGGGAGAAGAGTTGTTTACGGGGTGTGCTTGGAAGCTTGTCGTGGTTGTGTGGACAGACATGCTTTCTTTTCTCTGTTGACTGTTGACACAAATTTCCTAGTCTCCGAAATACCAGTGGCAACAGTGGAAACAGTCAACAAAACAAATGCATTGGTGAGAGCAGTTCGCAAGTGGAAATCACAAGAATACAAAATACACAGCTTTCAGCCGGGCTCCGACTTGACAATGGTGGTATGGGCGGATGCAGCATTTGCAAACCGTCCAAACGGAAAGGACTCAACAGCAGGAATCTTTGTTGGAATGAGCGATCCTCAGTTCACACAGGGACAGGAACGTGATGTGAGTCCAATTTTCTGGAGATCTGCCAAGATAGATCGGGTGTGCCGGTCACCAGCCTGTGCAGAAACAATGGCCAATCTGGATGCTGAAGATGACCTTCTATACCTTCGTGTGTTGTGGTCAGAGATATCTGGACGACCATTGGATCCAAGAGAGCCTAATGTCGCAGCAGCTTCAGTACCAGCAATACAAATCACCGATTCTCGGAACTTATGTGATAAACTTCACAGAGCAACAGTTGTCATTAAGGGAGCTGAGAAGAGATCAGATATTGAAGCAATTTCATTGCGAGATCATTTTCATGAGTGTCAAACAAGATTGTTTTGGGTTCATGGCGGGGCTATGATAGCAAACAGCTTGACCAAGGTGAGTGAAAAGCATCAAGCAATGATGTATGTCACTTTAGGCTTTCGCTACAAGGTGACCTATGACGAGCTCAACAGGTCGGAGAAGGTTCGAAGGAGAGAAGGGATCGGTCCAGTCGAAAGCGCACACAACATACATTGAGGGGTTTTGTGGTGATTCTAAATAGTTCCTGGCAGTGACAAATTTTTTATGTTGGGACCCGTGCAATTGACATGGCGCCCATCCACGTATTTAGTGCTCAGAACTCCCTGTAGGTTAGTGAAAGAAAGGCCGCCTTAAGCTATTTTGCACATTATATGCATATATATAATATATATCATTATATATCCTACAGTATATATTTCACGTATACTGCATACGCTGCGAGTACAAAGTTCGGCGGGACATTTGCAGTGGCGCGCTGTGCTGCGGCGAATCATCAGAGCGCCAGAAGATTCGCAAGCAGGTCTTCTGGCGGCCCGAATGACACTGGCATTCGACATTCTCTTTCGGTGAGCTCGGAACCTTTCAACCCGCCCTTCCATCATGGCCTCTCCTCCATGCTTTTGAGATCTCGATTTCCGGACTTTGCTGCTGCAAGTGTCACCAGTGCTCCAATCATAATGAGCTGCGTCGTGATGCCTCAGAGGCTCCACCGGAACAACCCAGAACTTAGAAAAATGCCGATTTAATGTGCCTCTTGAACGACAAACAATTAGCAAATAGCAATGCTCAAGTGATCTCACCTGCTTGGAAGCCCTGTGATGCTCAGTAGCGTAATCATGCGCTTTTCCTGAGCGTTTGTCATTGTAACTTCGACACCTAGGTGCTCCCAACCAAAGTTCCAGTCCTTTCCTGGTCCATCTCGGTGCAGGTGCGCATGCGTCGTGCAACCACAGCACTCTGCTGAAAGTAGATCATCCACGGCATGATCACCTTGATGTCCAATATAGCTATCCAAATTACTATTTTAGTGCATGTTGATCAACGACCTTCTTGGCTTATGTTCGCCCACATGGACGTTACAACCTCAGGTTCAAACCAGTTGACTTTACCACATGTCAATCTTGCTGCCTACGGGACCTAAGCTTGCCGAACCATGTCTAATTCTGTACAACTCCCGCCCCAAAGGCTCGGCTCTCAATCGGAGCATAGGGACCGCTCCAATGTTCGCAGAGATGAGCTTCATATATTCGGGATCAGCAACGTGGTCCAATGCATCCTGGAGCATAGATCCCACAGAGGGATGATAGTAGAGCATGGTGATGAGAAAGGTCATCTCAAAGGCTCCCAAGGTGACACCAATCACTTCAATCCTTCGATGGACAAATTGCAGATGATAGACTGAGGCTATATACTAGCGATGGTCTCCAACCTACTAGCGACTTTGGGGACTGAAAGACAACACTTGATGAGGCGAGGATTCTGTCGATACGACAGGCCAAGCACTGCCCCAATGATGACAAAAGAGGCCACCACGACAGAGACAAGTGGATTCATGCCCCAAAGCCTTCCTGTAGCGGCCACCCCACTCATTTCCGACACCATAGCGACCACGCACTCCACCAGCAATAGGGTGGTAGCAAACCAGCACCAACGTGGACCAAAATGCTCTCGAATGCAGGCACTATGGCCTTTGCCAGTGCAAATGCCCAAGCGCACAGTCAAATCTTGTGCCATGAAGAGTACTGGGATGAGACAAATCTGAAGCAGCAATAGGCCATAGCCATACCTTGATCCTGACTGGCATGCCACAAGTAGACAGCCAGCATCAGTGTCAGCTAAACAAACGAGGAGACCTGGACAGGGAGCCTTTCCGAAACAAAGAGAAATTAAAAGAAACAAAATGAAACAAAAACACGCGTTGGATGACACAGTATTTGAAGACCGTTTTTCTCACACCTGGGCCAATAATGGACCACGACCATGCAAATGTTGGTCTTTCCCATTTGCATGAACCGTCTAGCGGCTGTCTTTCAGTCTCGAGTCCTCCGGGATCCATTCCCCGGGCAAAAGGCTCGAGCCAAGGCTTTCCGGAATCAATCTGAATCGACATGATTTCAGGTGGGTTCCTTAGCGTGACTAGATATCCCAACAACCTGTCCATTCTGAGGACCTCCAAGCGCTAAGCAAGGCTCCAAGAAGGCCAGACCACAAAGGAGCCATTGCCACCTTGCATCCCACGCAAAAGCTTACGGGATCTTATTCTGTCAGTGTGTAAGACCAACTCGATTTCTAGACACCTGCCCAAAACCTTTCCACACCTTTTCACACACACAGACATATATATATATATACATAATTTGTAAACCACATTGAGAGATCCAAGCAAAATCCAACCTCAAAGACCTCTGACCTCAGGTCAAAGCCAAGCAAATTCGTTGTTCGGCATGTCTTCCTTTAGCATCACCAGCAGCGCACTCCTCAGCCAAGCAATCGGTCGCATGCTCACAGTCCCCGCCGACCCAAGGTCCCAACTTGGAGGGCTCAATGCATCGCTGCAAGAATAACCTCAATCTTTGAGCTTGGTGTTGCAAAATCACCTCTAGGGATTTTGGGCAACTTGACTCTCAAGGCTGACAATCCTGAGGCTATGTTGGGGGTGATCGCTTCTAGATTCATGGAAAGGCCATCGCTTCTAGGTTGGAGGCCATTGCTAGTATGTTGGAGTGAGGTACAGTAGCAAAAAAATGCTCATGCAAATGTCTCCAGCGTCTGCCCAGGGCAGCGGCTCAACAGAGTCCAGTCCGGATGAAACCTGACCAGTCCGGACACGTTATAAACGAATTCAGCAACGCGCTGTCAAACACTGCAGCCGTGAAGTGGTAGCTACAAGCGCAGGGTTTAAGTCGCAGTCGGCGAAAAGTCACATCAGTGGCACAGCGCCGCCAAAGCAAGTCTTTAGAAAGAAGAAGATTGCTCAACACCAGTATGGTCTTATTCCACATGCCCGTGCGCACCAAACGCTGTTGCATGGCTGATAGTGCGTCCGCAGGGGCGACATCCTCGGCAACCTGCACACGGTTTGGATCAGTCAACAACATGCTCTCGATATGCTTTGTCTGGAAGTCCGGCACTTCGTTACTAGTTACTAGTAGCGATGCCCTTATTACTAGAATCTTAAATCAATTCTGAAGTTTGTGATATGTTTGACCTCCTTGTGCCCGAAACTTCCGGCTCGCCTGGGGAAAAACAGCGGCAAAATTGTGTACAAATATAGTTTATGTACAATGATTATGCAATGTTATATATTTATATGCACACCAGATAATACCAGATACTATCAGCAGTTGCAGTCAGTTGCATGGCTGGAAGCCCCCCACCATTCAGCTTCCTAAACTCCTAAACCCCCTGCAATAGTGAAGTGGATGCCCCGCGATTTCACCGCCCAACATCTGCTCGCCACCCACCCACCCACCCACACCTGCCCTTCAAAGATAAACACACCTAGGTTTCGAGATGGGACGCTTGTTAGGGCAAAGCGGGCATAGCTTGAACCGTCATGCATGCACTGAGGCAAGAACCAAACATCTTGAATCATAGGTGGGCCAACATCTTGAAACCACAGGCCTCCAGCCTCCAGCTAGCTACCTTCCCTGAGGCTCCTGCGTTCAAAGGTAGTCTCTGACGAGATGAAGAAAAGGTCAGGGGACACAAGCTCTTGCACCTGCCACAATGCTGGCTATGCTTGTATTGTTCAAGACTCCACATAATGCGGGCTCAGGAGTCGAAATTAATTAGCAATGATTTCCACAAGGGGCCGCAGCTCTCTTGGAGGAGCAAGTAGCATGTCATTGCTCCTCCCAAGCAACCTGCACTTCCGCCTGTTTCACAGGTGGCAGCATTGTCTCCTTATTGTTCTCCCGCCTGGGCCACACCAAGCACAAAAACACCCAACACAATCCAGCAGGTTTGAGAAAAGCACAAGGCCAACCTCAGTCTTCTGGGGCCCAAACACGAGGATCGGCCTGGGGACCAGTACGCGGCCACTAATGGTACTCTGGGAGCCCTCTAGCATGGTCAAAAGGACTGTGACTATGGACTGTTGCCGCAGCGCTACGCATGGCTCCGTGCCATCAAGCCCAAACGAGCACGATCCAGCTTCGAAACCGTACGTGGCGTCTCGCAAGCGAGAAACCGCAAGGACCATGATGCAAAATACCGAATGCAACCGAAGGTCTTGATGCATCTTGATACGCCAGGGGCCAGCCATCAATCCCCAGCTATCACTAGATGGACAAGACTGACAAGACTGATTAAACAACTTATGGCGCCCCCCATAGGCCCCCAAGGTGCCAGATCTCCTTCACTCTCTCAGGCTGTGGCGCTGCGATAAAGCGTAAGGTCTTCTCGTCTTCAATGATCTTCTCAGCCACAACCTGCATTTGGGGGCCCAATCTTTCAAGAAACAATATTGTGGCATGGCGGGCAAGCACAATCTGAAGCATATGAGCGTTGGTCAACATTTATTGGGGAGTTGCAGGTCATCAGGATTTGGTGAGTGTATTATCGTTTTTTTAACAACCGACACGTTATCGTTTTTGGTGAGTGTGTTATCGTTTTTGAGCAAAACATGCATTTTGAACTCCCATGACCACTCTCCGACTATTCGTCAATTTCTCTAATTTTGAGCCTAGCTCATACATGAGCATAATAATTAACACTGTATAATTAGATCTCTTTCAGCCGCTCCACAAGTCCAATTTGGGACATCACTGCGCTGGGTTTCCTCCAGGCTCCACATCATCCTGCTCTGGAGTGTGAAGGCTCAAGGCTTTCCACTAAAAGCTTATTTGGCGATTTGCCCCGCAAAGAACCTCCGATACGAAACACTGGTCACACCATCTCGCCTCTAGCTTCTTAACCGCCTCTGACTCCTCGACTTGTGGTTGGTCCTTGCATCGTTGACAAAAGCTCAATGGGCATACCTTTTAAGACGCGGTGTGCTGTGTGGAGTGATTACTCGGCATTGTTGTATACCCACCGATCTTCACCCTGTTCCAAGCTTTGCCCATGATGGGCCTGAGCCGGAGAACCCTGCACAACCTGACAAGTAGTTAAATTAGATGTGGTGGTGCCATCAATCAGTCAAAGACAAAAGCACCCGCAGCTAACATAGCATTAGTCCATTGTGAGAAAAAAAAGCCGTTGCATCATGACTCCAGCCGCAAACCAACTATATAATGCAACTCTGCCAAAATTGCTGCATCTGTCTCAAACACTTTTCAGCGGCATGACAATAGCCCCGGCATGCCGGGTAAATCAAAAAAACAATATATATATATATACACAGTAATATAATTTCATCTATAAATCTCACGGCGTTTGAACCAAGGCCGCGGCCTCTGAAACCACATCAGCGCCTTGGCTAGATCACCGGATCACCTCCTACGGATCTTCCTCGAAAGCCTCTTATTGAATTCTGTAGGTCTTGTAGCCTTGCTCAACTCAGGATAAGTGGAACCAACACACTCCGTAAACCATCATATGATTATTTCAATTATCATCATAATATAGTTTGTATCATCATTGAATCATGATAAATTATCATCGAAGAGGGGTTGGGTGGCCAGGTCTAGACATGTTTAGACTCTAGACGTCTAACTCGAAGAGGTTGATCTGGAAGCTGAGCCCTCTGCAGCCCATGGCTGGTGGGCGGTTTTGTAAGCATCAGCCAAGCAAATCATCGACCAAACCCTTTTGTCACAGCCAGGAGAGGGCTTGGAGGAGGTTTTTGCTGTTCTCCAAATCTGGCAGATTCAGTACTGACTGCCCTGGACAAGTCACGCGTGACATGGACGGATGCCGGAGGTCGGGGTAAACTGGAAGCAACTCGAAAATGTACCAGAAAAGTTTGCAGAACGCTTTCGTATCATATCATATCGCCGTTGTTCTGCATGTAGCATGTATGTGTGCATATATGTGCATATGTAATTCTATAAGTAAATAAATAAAAATATATATATATATTATACAATATTGTTGACAAATGGTAATGCCAGTATCTGTTTCTCAACATGCTCAAAATTAAAGCCAACAGGCTACAGGTGAGTATCGCGGGCGTTCGTGGTCACCCCGCCCTTGGGCGCGCGCTTCTGAGAAAAAAGACCGCCTTTGGCAGGACTTAGCTCCACTACGGAGGACCAGCTCAAAGGCCCTGAGGGATTGCCAAAGACCTGCTCAACAGCGGACTTCACCCGACTTCACCAAACGCGGCGCTGCTGCAACCAACCACAGCAGCGTTGCTTTCATTGCCCAACTTGAGCTCTTGGAAGCATGGTTGCCCTGCCCGGAGGCCCCGCATAGAATTTGCTCTGAATGCTTCATGCAAAAGCGCCAAACAGTACACTCTATAGCTGCTAGTCTATACGAGTCTGTACTATGGCGTCAGTTCTCTTGCCAAAAGCTCAGGATCGTGGCAACTCATTTGCAACAACTGTGTAACCAATTGCGTGCCAATGAAATGTGCCAAGGTGTAAGACCTCACTCAACGTGTCAAATGAATTTGTACAAGTTGATGTGGCTGTGGGTCAAGCAGGCCCGAGCCTAGGCCTGGTGTGGACCCACGTCCGTAAGTTCCCTAGCATCTACAAATAAATTGGTCGGAAAAAGTCTGCTTGCATCACCAAAGGGATCCATCTCCAATGCCCGAACTTTGAAGATTGGCTGCTATGGTCTCCATCAGTGCATGAACCCCGCGACACCATTTTGCACATGTTGCCCGGTTTTCTGTTTCCTAGAGTCTAGAGTGCCTGGAAACCATGAAGATGAAATACCTTTGTCTAAGCTTCCCTCGTCTGATGGCCATAAACAGCAATGCTTACAAATAAACTGCCCCCTCTGGAGGCGCAAACTTTTGTTCTTTCTGTCCACTACACAAATCAAAACAAGACTTTTTCCTTTCTGCCTCGCTTCGCAGCTTGGCTGAGCTAGCGAGTCATGGACTGAAAAACGCTGAGGAACGCCTCAGATGGCTGGGCACCTGAGATCTCCTCGCTCCTCGCCCGACGCTGCCCACAAATCCACCAAGGCCCGTGAGAATGCAAAACAGCTCAGCTCTAGCATGGTCTACTGTAGCATTGGAGGGAAATCCCGACGTCTCTTAATGTTGACCTCAGATTTATAAACGCCCCTAGAATAATGACTTATTGTTTTTCTCCTGCACAGATTTATAAAGGCCCCCCAGAATAATGTCTTTTTTGGGGGTGGGATTTGTTTTTATTGTTATAGTTTACTTTTTCCCTTTTGAGTTTGCTGGGATTTGCTTATCTTACAGGCTTTTGGATGGAGATTTCCATTAAAATTTTGGATATTTCCATTGAGATTTGATGCTTATTTAATTATCAACTGATTGATTATCTTATAAATTATTTTGGAGGCCTTCGCTGTTGAGGGGGGGGGGTTATAAATCAAGAGTCACCATTAAGGTCTAAACCTCCCCTTTTTGCACGGTCCTGGACCCTTCGGTCCGGATCACAAAGTGTGGGACGCCCCGCACCTGAAGGGAGGTGCAAATTCTTGGTCTTGCCATTAGCAACAAAGAAGGACGCTACTAGGGGCTCCTGGCCGTACTACTAGGAGCAAGTACGCTACTAGGAGCAAGTACTAGGGTGTGGTTCGCATCTAAGAATTGTTCTTCCCTGTCCAAGTCCATTCCAACCATGTAGCGATGATTGAGGTTTCTGAGGGGCCATGTTGAAAACTTGTCAAATTGACACATCGGTTTTTAGGCTTCTTAGGCGCTCCAAGCTTCTTGCCCACTTTCATTTCCTCCTGAGTCTCAGATGCCACATAGCTTTTGTCCATCCTTGGCTCTCACCCTCGCATGGTGACAAACAAACAGGTCCTGCCCCATCCACGGACCATCCCCGAATCTCAGCTTCTTCTTGCCATACCGAGGAGTTTAAAGGCAGTTTATGGTATATACAACATTCTTATATAGGCCCCTTTCTTAACCCAAGCAGCGATTGAACAATTGAATTCCTTCAGGTAGAGGGAGACAAATCAAACAAGAGAAGGTGTATATATATATCGGGGGGATTTGTGCACATACTATCAGATTTGCGTACTTTCAGTTGTCAGGTGTCTATCTCAGGAATGTGGAGCAAAACCACGCCGTGTCTCTCCTATCTAGATAGGAGTGCTTGTTCAAGGATTGGCTGCACCGGCAGCTGTTTAATTTTGCTCTTAGTGCTGGGATCTTTAGTTTCGAGTGGTTGCCATGGTCCGGGCACCAGTTATGACATTCCTTCAGATCCAAGCATGGCTTTGCACTGTTTGGCCTTTCCTTGCACATGAGCAGGGCCTCTTGAAGTGGAACATGGCAACCTTTGAAACTTACTATGGGTTGGGAGAGTTTCCTGGAGATCTTTGCCTGATGTTGCGGTTTATAATTTGTGAGGGCTGGTAGAGTTGATTCTCGTTACTTCCCTTCTAGCTAGACTAGGTCGGCGAGACCGTGAGCAGCTGCTGAAGAAAGCCGGCCAGGAAACCTTTGAGTACTGTGAAATATTTGGTGGTGTGGGGGCAATTGCCGCTTCCAACACCTTTGACATTCGCAGGGATTCGAAGCACAATTGCCACCATGAGGATGGCATCAAGGAGATGGCCATGATGCTGGTCTTCACTGTGTGGGGTGGTCTCGCAGTTGTGGAGCCAACCTGCAGTTCTTTTCTACGTTTTGTGAGCACACATACAAGTGGAAGAAAACCGGCCACTTGAACCGACCAGAATTTGTTTGCAATTTTCCTGGTCACCGGGGTTTAGGATTTCAGGAGGAGGTTCAGGGTGATTGGACAAGTTTGGCTGTCATTCCTGGGCCGTTGTCCCTGCTTACTGAGGACAAGATCTATGGAAATGAGGCTGCGCCTTTTGTCCGCACAGGAAATGCCACAGCAGAACTGGTTGGAACAGTGATTGTGCCACTTTGTGAATGGCTGGGCCTTTCGTGGCTGATTGAGAACCCAGCATCTAAGCAAGAATCTAGCAGTTTATTTGTGAAGAGGAATTTGTGTTTTGGGAGAAAATGGTTGAATCTTGTTTGAAGTGTAAGCTCTTTTTTAAATGTTAAGGCAACTGGCAGAACGTGAAGTTTTTCATGGAGGGGTACTGTAGTACTTGTGCTTCATAAATGCTTGCCCGCTAGATCTGCCTATCTGAGTTGAATTCGCTCATCTTCCTGTACCCGGCTATTGCTGCTCAAGTGGGTCGGCAGTTCATTGTTCCTGGAATTGCAAATGCTCCACACCGCATTGTTGCCTACTTGAGGACGTTTGGTGGGCTGTCTGCGAAGCCTCTGGAGCTGCGTGGGCGTTGGCCTGCACTATCACTTCTTCAGGAGGTCCATCGCCTGGCTTGGCCAGACACACGCAATCGATCATCTGTGCAGCTCATGAAGAAAGGTGCAAGGCTCCTCAATGGCTTTATGGCATCATATTTGTCTAGTTTGTAATTCATGTGATTGTTTTTCTAGGGGCATATCGCCCAAATACTGGCAATATGTGTCAGGTGGTGACTACTTTAAGTTGTGAATATTGGTACTACTGGAGGAAGCCCATCCTTTTCCAGAATGCATTGCCATTGGCGTGTAAGGTGGACCTCAGGCCAAAGGCATGCAATGGGGAGCTCTTCAGCCTATCCAAATGCTTTTGGAGAAGCAGTACGATTCTGCCATGAGACATATAAGCGCTTTGGGAACATGGGCCCTGATTGCATGACAGCATTACAGGGGTTTGCTGCCCAAATGGTTCGAGATTTGCCAGCACCAGGTACCATTAGCTTGCCTGACAGGGTTAGTTGCCTAAAGGAAATGTTTGGTGTTCAGAAGATGTTTCCCTCCACTTTGCGATTTGGGTTGTTTCTTTCTTTCTCTTCTCTTGTTGGAGGACTCTGCTCATGTTCTTCGGCCATACGACCAAGATCCTGGATGGCTTGGATTCTTGGAGGAGGAGAGTCCGCAGCAGTCTTCCAGTTCATCCGGAGGAACCCCATCCTCCCAAGTACGCCGCACTGTTCTTCAGATGTTGCAGGCATCTGGGTCTGTTCAGGGCTAACTAAGAAGTTTTTTTGCTCGCAGCTACCTGGAAGGCCAATGGGGATAGGTCCGATGGCCCTAGTTCCAATGGCGCTGCCAGGAAGAAATTCAAAGGACTGACTGAGCTCTCTCTCACTCAGCAGTCTTTGCGTTTAGTTCTGTTTGGTACAGTGATGTGCACTTGACTTTGCATGTCTCGAATGTCCTTTGCTGCTGCAGCTGTTTCCTTGCGACATTTTGTTTGGAAGCCGCAGCCCATTTGGAAGGTGCATGGCCTAGTCAGTCCTGAAACAATGATTGCGTGTACACTGTAGCTAGTGATGTGATCTTTCGATTTGATTCAAGTCACACATTCAGTTCTGACAGTGCTGTGCCAATGCAAATTCCAGTGGGACCAAGAGGCTTACCCTACGCAGTCATGTTTGAAATGACTCTCTTTTCGGAACTCAGGCCTTTGAGTCTTTGTGCTCACAAATTGTTTCATGATTCTATCGTGTATCATATCAGCTTTTTGAGTTTGTGCAAGGGTGGATCGTGGCAATCTATCACGGTTGGACTCCAAGTTGTTATCAAAGCCCTGTGATTGAGCAAGGCTGTCCAGTCCAAACAAAGCAACATGCTCAACCAAGATTGTTTTACACTGAGCTGCTCATCGATAAGATTAATTTGCTTATTTTTAATGTGGTTCAGTACCAAACCCCTTTCTCAGTTCATGTGAGACTTGGCAGGTGCCACAGCACATGACCATTCCTCAGGCGTGCCATTTCTTGTGTTGGGATGCCTGCCTGATGTGTTGCACAAACTTAGGATGCAGAAATGCTATGTTGAATAAACTTGTTTTCAAGACCAGTCAGACCTGCAGGCGTGTATTCCACCGGTGCATGTTCCTGAGTCGCTTCAGCAGTGCACTGCCCTTAGATGAAAGTTCAAGCACACAGCAAGAGTTTGGCCACTGTCTTCATCGCACTGGAGGTTTTTGGGCCTGCTACTTGCTGTGGAGATGATCGTGTTATTGGAGGTACGCATTTATTTTATCGGTGGAGTGTGTCCAAACCGGTATTCAGTAGTGAGCTGCAGCTATATTGAGTTGCCATCAATCCCAAACACCAATTGTCTGTGAGGCAGTTGTTGAAGTGGCTGAGCTATGATACTTTGCTCGAGCCTCAATGAACCAATGGCAGTTCACAAGAATGCTGTCAAACCTGGGACCAGCTGTTCGTTGGACTCTCGTAAGATCTACTAAGCTGCAAAGCACATATGGCTGTACACATATTTCACATATATATATATATATTAACCTAGTGATGGAAGGAGGCAAGGTGACCTCCCCCAATCCACTGTTTCGCAAGTTCTTTCTATCATCCAATTCAAGTGGTTCTTGCCGGTTATTGATTGTTTGCAGGAAGCAAATGCATTGTGCAACCATTTTGTGTACTTAGTGGAACAGAACTGATTGCTGCACACCTGGGACTCCTCATTCGTTGCTACTTGTGGCAGTCATTTGCAAGTTTGCCTCGTGGCCGCTGTGGATGCCTCGGACCGCTGGAGTTTACATGTGCAGGACTGTTCCACTTGTTTGGCAGTGAATGGGAATCAATCAACCTGCTTTGCATGCAATCATCACTGATGGTAAGCATGCATGAACTCAAGTGATGCACATCTGCTAGTTTTTGTGGGTTGCAATTGATGGGAGGCGGAACTTGGTTCCTGTTATGTATACTCTTATGCAATGCACTATACGCCATAACATTTGGCTATTGGTACTTACTGCGTGTGAAAAGCAGCTCATTCACCTTCGTTCAATCGCTCTTGTGGACATTGTTGGATTGTGAGTCGATCCAGTGTATATTGTTGATATTCACGCTCCACCGTGGGGGTTTGACCCTCACCCCCCCCCCCACCGGCCCCGTGGATTTGAACCTGGAAAGAACCGGGATCACCTTTCCAAAAGATATAGTGTACTTTTGAGCTGTTACAGGTGTTTTTGGAGAACGGTTTCTTGCTTCCGCAGTGTCTTTTTTGCTTGATGCAGGATCTTGGTTCTGCAACTTTGGGAGTTTCTTCAATGGCTGGAGGTGCCAGCAGAAGCTCGTGTCCAAATACTGCATTGATTTGCAAGGGCTCATTTGGTCAGGCATCAAATCACACATTGGCGTGTCTCTGGTGTGCGTGTGTTTGAAAGGTCCAAAGTAGGCAGTCCCTACTCAGTACGCCTGGGTCATTTGTTTCCTGTGACGCCATGCTGCGATGCAGTCGCAGTAGATCTCCCAAGCTTGCAAAGGTGGCAACTAGCTCTTCATGTGATGAGCACTGGGAAGATTCTCAAGAAATGTCCACTGACTGGGTTGCACAAAATGCGCTATCCAAAATTGTCTTTGTGGCCATGATGGATGGTCTTCCTTGGAACCGACAAGGCGGTGAGGATGTGGGCTTGCAATTGAAGAGAGTTGACCAGGCGCTTAGATCAGTCTCTGCTGAGACTTCAAGGACTGTGTGTGAATCAATCTCTGAAACCCAAGGTGTTGTTTCACAGTAGACTCATTTTTGGCTGGGATGGAGAGCCAGGCTGTCCACCCACTTTCGTTCTTAGGAGCTGTGTTACAGGGACACGGTTTTTCGCTGTGCAGAACAATTACAATATGTTATGCAATGGACAGCAAGTCTGGTTAAAAGGGCTTGCATTGTTGCATCAGCCTGCAAGGTTGTTTACATGTTTCCAGGTGGGTTCACACACACACAGAGAGTGCATGCATTCGTTCATTCTTGCTCTGGTC